TTTATTGTTCTCATCATTATTCTAAGAAATCAGTCGTCAGATCTTGTATCCTTCAGATTCATTTTAAATTCAACGATTTACACAAATTGACCTTTTATTTATTTTATTGTTAAGAAAGAAGGAGAAGTTAAATTGGCAGTTATTTTTAATGAACAAAGCAAAATAGAAAACAAACGAGCAAATATTATTTCAACTTACTGTAAGTTTCCTTTGATTGTTTGTGTCACTTAAAAGCATAATTTCAGGTTGTTCAATGGAAGGAATATCGGAGATCAATCAAGAATTTATTAACTTATATAAATTATGTTCATAGAAGGTATCCACTGTATTGGAATCTGACCAGTAAGTTTTTTTAAGAATTTGTTTGCTTATATTTTAATTAGTATTGTACAGGTTCTTTTTGAGACTTTAAAGGATCAAAACTGTAAGAACAATATTTTAAACTCTTGACCTTGTACCCAATATAATTCTTTTCTCTTCGCACTCGAACTTAGAAAATGCGTCTTAATTTGTAAAAAAGATGCCTTACTCATCCTATTGAATCATAGTCAGATTATGGACACGTTATCGACTAACCTGTCTAATATAATACTGTATTCATCCCTTATAACTATTTGTATTATTTTGATGAAAACATTTATGTACCAAGAAAGAAGACCCAATAACATAAATATAACATTTTTTTGACAATAGCTTGTAATCGCGCGTAAATATGCTGGTTTTGGCTGCGAATCAACTGCGCACTATTACAATTACATAATGATTGGATCATCAAACGAACTGTAGTAAAAATGAGAAGATGAAACATAAGCAAGATCTTAATTTTTTGGTCTGTTTTCGGAATGAAAGCTTCGAACGGTAATTTATTTCGAGTTAGTCAAAGATATCGTGTATGCATGTTACCTGATTGCAAGAAAAATCGAAAGATCATCTTTGAAAAAATATTTTATTTCGATAGGTTTCAAATCCAGAAAACAATAGAGATTATTAATAAGAGATACCATTACTTATCTTCGAGTGAGGTCTATCAAAATAGATCTTGACTTCCTAATGTCTTGTCAAACATATTAAAAAACTTTTTTTAAGGTCTATTAGATTAAAAAAGAGCAGTCTAAGATTCTTAGCACTCATAGAGACTTGGCCTCCATACGAGTATAATCTGAGAGAACAGAAACCTGATCTCAGAAAGCGTATACTTGAGATAACATGATAAAGTAGTACTAATCATTATAACTTCAGTATAAAATATAATAGCCTATTCGCATCATTTTATGAGAACAGTGTTTAAGTAAAGCATACTTTACGTGTGCATGATTGATTGGTCTCATCTTTCTGTGGAATGTATGTGGAAATTGTTGAAGACGTAGTTTATTGTCCAATTCGGTTCTTTCTTTTGGTTGAATACTTGAGTACAACTGTAGGACAACGCTACGCGTATGTTGAAGCAATGTTATATGCATATAATCCATTATGATCGAATTTGGAAGCCGTATATCCAGAATTTGATGTAGAATTGATATACTTAGGTGACCGTCTATATTTTCATATGTTTGTTCAGCTTTTGTAGATTCACTTATATAACTATCGATAGTTCTCATAATTGGTGCTTCTTCAAAATGGTATTGTCTTTTATTTAAAATATGGATACCTATGATCTTACAGTATCAACATGAATAATATTCATTGTTACCAATGTGATTCAAAATTGTCTTCGTGGCGGGACAATCAGCGATCATTCCAATAAAATAAATAAACCAACGATGAATACCGCCTATAAAAAATACTATATCAATAAAAACAAAAAGAATTAATACTCTCTTGCCAATGAAATTATTCTATTGTTTCAACTATCACTATCTTTAAGCTCTTCTTAGAGAACATTAATGAAAATGATTGACGAAGGCTTCATCTTGATCGTTTTAAATAGACTATAAAGATCCTATACAGTTATTTCTGTTAGTGGTTTCTTGCACATGCATTTTTCAAGCACTCCGTAAATGCTTCATTTTCTCTGTGGTGATCTAAATGAGATGATTAGTTATTTAGTGAGCATATCACTTCTTAAAAAAATGGGTTTTTTTTTTTTTTTTTTTAAAATAATGTCTTTTCCCACCAATATTTTTTTATGATAATGAAAACCTTATAAAAATTATTTGTTTTAAAACCATGAAAAATATATGAATTTTGTTCCATGCTTAAATAAAAGAAAATTTAAACATGAAGCGCAATTTTGTATACAAAACTAATCTTTTTTTTTAACCTTTCATATAACTGTGATCGAATTTCACAAAGAAAGATTTTTAAAAGTTTTCGGAAAAAGAAATAGATCGACTATTTTAAGACTTAGAAACTGTTGTCTAAACTCTTTCTAAACGTAGATATAATTCAGTAAGGTTGCTGGATAAATATACCGAAGGTAACAGAAATAGATTTTTTTCGCTATACCGCATTGTCCGAACATTAGGAGGCATCATTTATTAATAGTATACAATATTTAATAAGTTTTTTGCAGATATGTAACAATGACTAATTCAACATTCTAAAATTTAATGCCAACTAGATCTCACACAAAAGCAATGTTTCTTCAAGACTTAGCAGTGTAACATATAGACTAGTTTAATGTATCTGGAAGTGACACGAAGAAAATATTCAAAGTTTATACAGAATATTTCAACTCTGTTAAATTCCAAATTGATCTTATTTTACTGATAACTTCTAGCTGTAAAAAATGTAATTATTTTTCAAATATGATTTCGATAACTCCAAGAGATATGTTCTAACGCAATTAGAAAAAAACTGAAGCTTGCAAACTTTCGAAAAAAAATATTTAGATAGTTTTTTTTTAATAGGAAAGTAGTATTTTTCTAAACTCACACTGATTGTGTAAAAAATTAAAGATAACGTTTCTAAATGAGAGCATCATTGTCTTTTCGAACAAGTATTTTCTTTATTGCCCGAAAGATTTAAAGGGTAATTGAGAGCTCTTATTAAAATTTTCTTAACAATTATAAGAGGCCTTTATGCAATTTAGTTTGATAATACGAAAAATCTAGCATACGTCGTTTATTCAATAATAGCTTTCATTCTAAAGAATCTAACCCGATCTTTCGAACTGTTAGGAAACAATCAAAAAGACACGTATACTTACCAATGAAGCTATCTTATACAAAAACTTTTCTATCAAGAATCATTTCTATGCTTAACACCATCAAAAGTAATGTCAAGCTCGTAACTTTTTCGCTATAGCAAAAAAAAACATAAGTATTTGAGTAACTGATGTAGTTACTAGCTGAGGGTTCAGAAATCTCGAAAACATTGATAGAGGTGAACTAAAATAGATTATAGGCATCAAAATAAATACCTCAATTAAGTTTATTATATACTATTATATTTTTACTGTTAGTATCATGTATCACTTTTTGATAAACATATTCGATAATTTTAAATGCTGCAAACGTTGTATACATTCATTTAGCCAAGTATTAATTATCGGTTCTCGAGGACTAATCCAAACTGCGAGTAATATCATATTTTCACATTTATTTCGAAGATAGGGTGGCATTTCTACAATTGTACAAGAAAATAACCACAACATTAATTTATTAGACTTTCCCAACCCAACCCAATCCCATCAACATGAGGAATAACACTAATAAAAGACCGGTGAGCTACGATTTTTAGTAAAGAACGATAAATTTTTTGGAATGGAATATCATTGTTTTCATCATTTTCCGTTGTTATAATCTTTTGACGCTATTGATCAATATCAACAAGATTAAGTTCAATTATTTCACTAAAAATCTTTTCATAATCTTAATCTGTATCAAAAACATCAGCATATTGCTTTTTGTCATTTGAGTTGCATTTCGTACATAATTCTTCCGAGTTTTCCATATCATTCTTGCAGAACAAACAAATTCTTCTTTTCATGAACAATTGTCTACTACAAAAAGAATACTACGCATATAAATATTACTAAATAAAATTCGATTTGATAAATATTGGAGATACGATTTATGGTCAGTAAATGAAACACTTATGAAATCAGCCAATTTATTGATTAATCAATAAATTGTTTAAACAGTCAGCTATAAATGAATTAGGTTTGTAAATAAATTTATAAATCAATACATAGAATTTATTAGTGGTTGATTAAATTAAATGGTGAGAAAAAAAATTGAAATGGTTGTGGAATAAATCTCTTTTGTTCTTCCTCTCTCTTCTCTTGAGCTGTTCTACATGAGTTCTCGTTCTTTTTAACTAATTTTTTTTAGTCTACATATTTCGCGCATAAGAAGAACCATAGTTGTAATTTGTCTTATTATCTAGTGTCGAAAATCAAGGAAACAAATTTCCTCGATTTCATCTCTGCTTGTTTTCTTTATGTATTCCCGTGTATAAATGTTTATTGTTTTTCAAATAAAAACTGAGATATTTAAGATTTACAAAATGTAACGTATTTATTATTATGACAGCGGTACAGGTTACTCAATAAGAAAACAATGTATCAGATAAAAAATTTTCCAAGACGATCGTGGAACTAATGTTAGTAAAAGAGCCCTGAAAATAAGAAATCAAAGTATTGGATTAAAACAGACGAATTTTATAATGCTGTCGAAAGGGAGGCGTCAGTTCAAAATTAGTAGTTAAAATATTTCATAAACTATACAAAGAGTAAGAGAATAGTTTACTACGCATGCAAAAAAGCTCAATCCCGTAATCTCCGACGCCTTGCAAATATTTATCTTCTATGTAATCGAGACAGTGATTAAATTTTGCAATTAATTATTGGTAATTTTAGTACTTAACATTCGATATTTATACTGACCATTTCATCTATTTCACTGATCACTTAAATCTTAGCCGTATTTATTCAATACTCACGAATATTATTATAACAAAATTGAAAAGAAAAAGCAATTTTGTCTGCATATAATCCAATAGCGCTTTAAGTGATGTAGGAGCATTGTTCTGTTGTGGAAGGACTGAACTAATTAATTTCAAGATCTTTGCTGAATGTATTTGGATATATTTGCTTGACGCAAAAGATGCAGAAGATTTGTACAAAATTCATTTTGCGTAACATGGGTGTACTGATGGAGAAGTGCTGAATTTTGATCAGGTTCTGTAAGACAATTTTTATGGAATGAAGTCAAATCATCATTTGCTTGATTATAAATCATATCATCAGTATCTGATTCATCACTTTCATTTTCTACTAGATCAAAATCAATATCTATATTATGATCATTATTATCATCAATATTATGTGGTACTATGCTTTCACATGAACACGCTAGATGATTATTTGAAAATTGATTAGCAGGTTCAGTTGTTGCTTCTGTAATTAAATAAGGCGATAGTTCTTTCGCAAGGTTAACAACTGTTTGTTTACGTAAATTGTTGTTTCTTGAATTACGTCGTTGTTGACTTTTGTATTCACCATTTTCCATAGCTAATGTAAGTTCAAGGTCCATTTGATCCTCAAAGAGCAAAAGCTTCTACAGTCTGAACGAATGATAATCCAAAAATACTCACAGTCAGTAGCGTTTAGAAATCGAGAAATTGGTATGCTTTTAAAATTTTATCGAAAAAAAAAGTCCATTTTTCTTTTAAAAGACTAATATATGTTGGATTGGTTGCTGTATTTTTAATGGACTCACTTATTTTGTTAAACACGATCTGAAAAGAGTGTTGAAGTGTTTAGTGGTAGAAATTTGGACTAACCCCAGCTCCTCTCAAAGATCGTGACAGAGAAAATAACTAATTATTTAATTAGAAATTAACTAACTAATCAATTTAGCGATGAATTAATCACTTCATTTAATGATTAATTAATTAACCACTCTAAATAATGTTTCCTTAGTAAATCATTAATGACTCATCACAGACTGTAACCGAGGAATTCCATACCCATCACAGAACGTGACAGACCTTTTGTTACTCGAAATAAGATTCAAGGTCACTAGAATCTCATGAGCATATATCAACTGCTTCTTTATTTCACTTCTCGAGAAGTAAGTGAAAAATGATGAATAAACGGGTCCGAATACATATCGAAGAAAGCAATATTCGTGTTGCTAGTAATAATAGCTATGTCGTGCTTCACATTTTAATCCCGCAAGGATTGCAGTAACAACTTTTTATTAGTCAGCTAAATCTAAAATACTTTCAACGACATGGGTGTGGGTATTGATGGAGAGAAGCTCCATACCCACACCCACACCCACATCCACATTTCGAAACAAAAAAGAGACAATTATAAGAGGTCACGGTTATTAGCTGTAGTGCTTGCAAATTACGTTTGAAGAGGATGAAAACAAAGCTATGTATATTAAAGTGTATCATCTGTTGAATGAATATCTCATATATATTCAAGCATTTATTAGGAAAAATGCAACTAAAGTTTCTCGCCGGCCTGTACAAGAAGTCAATAACTGGAAAAAGAAGTCAGGGTAAAATTCCAGTACACTATTGTGAAGACAATGAACAAACAGGCGCTAGTTTTTTCTTTCCAAATCTAACCACCTTCAATGAATTGAAAATGTCATAAAAATAATGCTCTAACTATAGATCATTAGAAATTTTGTTACAACGTTAAAAAAGCACTGTAGGTTTAGCCATTGTACAGTGATAATTTAACAGAATTTTCATCTCAACATCATCTTCTCTATAGCTTTTCCAAGTTGGATAAGAAATTTTTTTTTTCGCTAGGTTAAACTTGTTCTAATTCATTTGGATTTGCTCTTTTTTGTTACGCAACTCATTCTTTCTTTCGTTATGCTCAAATACACTCTAGTATACCCAGTGAACAAAAGTCAGATTATATCAGATTATGTAAGATTATAACCGGATTTTTGTGAAACATAATCCAAACTATAATCGATTGAAATCTTCTAAATCAACTATAATTTGATTTTTAATCAAAAATAATCTCCGAAATCAAA